CGCCACACCATTGGAATTCGAGCGTTCCAAAGTTTTCATCACAGAGACAGTTGCTATCCTTTACAGATCACCACAATCTTTAATCACATAGGTCTATTATGAACTTGTGAGCAGCAAAGTGATCCGCGGTTTAGTGTGTCCTGGGCGGAATTGAATCAGGGACTATTCGTATATTGCATGTCGTCTCTGACCACTATGCTTCTCGTGCCCAAAATTCCGGTAGTAATTAGCAAGGTTGTTTATTGGTTGTAAGTACACTGAAATAAGTAGAAATATACGTGCAGAAAACTCTTTATGTTGGATGTTGGCGTTGATTTAAGTACATCGTCGTTCGATTTTCATCGAGTAGCCTCAATTAGGGTTATTTTTCAAGTTTTTTCCCACCACAACCATAGAGACTCTGAAATCTGACACGAAGCCCATTCTGTGGCTAGCTCTGCTGTACAGTCACCAAGCTAGTCACTTATGTGTTGGCATAAGTTGGGTAAGCGTATCTCTGGAAGAGTTTAATCGAATATTCAGCGTCTCCTCGTTGATTATCTCGGTTGTTGTTTCATTTCTTTTCTATTTTTGCTGAAAATATCTGCACTAGATTATTCGTTGTGTTTTACTTTTTTCTGGATGAAAAAACAATAAAAAGAGAGAATTTAAGAGTAGGAAAGAGAAGGAAAGAATGAGAAAGAGCCTTTCAACAGCTACCATATGCTGTTTCTTCTAGTATCTAGGCTTTTCGATGTTGATCCCAAGCAGAACACTTCCTGTTTTTCTTTCTTTCTTCCCTTTTTGCGGAAGACCACCAAATCCTGTCAATCAAGAACATTGCTGGTTCTTTGTGAATGTATGAAGAACTTCTACAGAATTTCACCCTTTATGAACGACTTTATGAACATCGAATTGATTCTAAACTATATAGTAAGAATCTTTCTAACCATTGACAAGTAATAACCTTCTAAGTTTGAGAATGTAAGAAAAAAGACAAATGTGGACATTTGAAATAAATAGAAGACCAATAATAAAAGATGTTACTGGGTTCGGCATTCGCCAGGATTTCTCAGGTGTATGCCTTGCAATGGACTCCATTCATAACACCATGAAAGTAATAGAAGCGATATTTGACGTGAACAATTAATTATGGAGCCCTACCCTTCTAAACAACTCTGTTACCAGCTTACCGGGACCTGAAGAGATGGAGGCCATAGTTTGCCCGGTGCGCAGGGTCGAACTGAGCACCCTGGGTGAAATGCAGGGCACATCGAGCCACCGCGCTTAGCGTCCTCAGTTGCTCAAAAAAATACCCTAATCGTCATGTAGGGAAGGTATTTGCGAGGAAACGGATCGAGTGCCAGAAGTTCAGGAATCTGCACGAATAATACGAAAAGAATCATGTAAAATAAATAAAGTAAATAATAAATTATTTTGTCTACAGCATTCCGAGTCTGTAAGAATCTGATTTCTGACTTACGATGGTAAAAAAATATTTACTCAAAGAAAAAAGCCTAGGCTTCCCAAAATATTAAAGAATTTGTGAGAAGAATAATTCATTCATGTAAGCTGAAGACAATAACATCTTCAGTTCTATTAATCGTTGTATTTAACCTTTGATTGTGAAAAGTTTAATTGTCCTATTTTAGATTCAGAAGACTCAGACCCCGATTTGAATTGTTCATTGAAAAGAAGTTTTTCTCCTCTAATATTTTGTTGTTGAAAACGTTCAGGATTCGGTTGGCTTTGTTTACAAAAAAGAACGCGAGAGAAGTAACACTATTAGTGGCCAAAACAGAAGAAGAAAGGAAGAGTGCTCCCAATAGCGTTAATCACAATAATAAACCAAAAACTTCGTTTTCAGTTCCAGATTTTTCTTGGATCTACCATTAATAATATTGCGAAAAAAAGTTGAAAACCTTTCGGAATGCCCTATCTGGTGCAAAACAATATCTCGATGCTACGTTAGTGCTACATACTTCTTCTTGACCAAACTGTACCGCAATTTTAGCAAAATTTCTCAGAAGACCACAAATCTGATCTCAAGGAGAAATCCGTAGAAGTCTAAATGAAGAACACAAATTTGAGTATTTACCCAAAAAAATTGTTAGCTTTAGACTTATAGTAGACGTCTAGTAAGCATATTTTGTACGACCCACTTACTTTGAACGGAGCGTGTGGCCCAGTGGTCGGAAGCGCAATGCAACACACACGTAGAATCGATCGCCGTGCCTATGGCCCATCAAACCTTTCATCCCTCAGAGGTCGGAAAACCGGTACCAGACTTGTCTGGGAGGATAGCAGCCCTGAATTGATATACCGGTATGCCACCGCGAGTCACTGTCAAGGCCAAATATGCATCCAATCACCTCCAAACAATGCTTAATGAAGTCGAATGCATGGCGCATCCCTTAGAGATTGATCAACGCCGAGAGCTTTGCCCTTTTTATCTTTTATCCACTTACTTTGTTCAGAAGAGTCGCTAAGAAAAAAACAGCAATTAGAAATCACTTCCAATGAACACCGTTGATATATGTTTCCCACACATCGACATAACGATCGCCTTCCGGCAATCATCTCAGTGCTCTAGAAATCCAGCATTTCACATAACTTATAAGGAAGGAAAGAAAATTAAATCGAAGCAGTTTCCATGAATTTTTCGCATCTACAGCCGTTTCTTTTACTTTTTAGGCGATACGGGTTTCGGTAGAAGAGCCATTAGATTGCTAAATTTATTTAGAGGCGAAGTCGAAGAGGGCGGCTTCACACCAGGGAAGATTTGTGTGCAGAGAAATTTATGTGATCATAGCCTCTCGACGCCACGTACGCCGTTTCGCTCCTCTCGCCTCCAGAAACAGCTGGAAGATGTGTCGCTTAAATCACTCCTCTCCGTGTGCTACACAGCTCCCAGCATGTTTTTGATTTGTTCTTTTCTTATCTTGCCTGAGGTGAAGGTGGTGGCATTCTCGTTCTTGTATGAATTTTTCTCAGGTATTCAGAATCTGAACGTTGACTCTACTTGTGAATTCAGCCGGCTTACGCTCTACAACGAGCCTTTTGATCCACTTTCTTCTCGTTAGTCTCCCATATTCTGTTTTCTTGATGAACAAGTACGAGGTTGTTAATAGTGAGATTTGTACAATACAATGGTGGCTGACATTGCAGCGATTTCGCCTTCTTCAGAGCCGTTTTGCTGTTCTTGAGTTGTTCAGTCATCGGTGGAAGTCAGAAGAATGTTGGTACTGGATCTCCTTTATCGTCGTTCTATTTCTTTCTGAATCTACTTTAGCACTCTTTCCGATCAGCTGTTTTCTTCTCTTCTCTATTGCATGGATGCCCGCCAACTTTTTTTATCGGGACGAACTTCATTATCTCTGAAGGACGTTACCTATCTTAAAATATTCTTGATACAATGCATATGTAATGCATTTTTTGTTCTGATCTCTTAGTTTGGTCAACGTCTGACCTACTTTCTATCTTTTCCCACTTTATTCTTTTATGCCGTAACTCTATTTTGTCTCTTATTGCTTTTTTGATTGTTCAATTTGTTTTTTAAAGTAAAATAAGTTGGTAGATCGAAATTGATTATCATTTCCATATAAGAAAATTCTGAACAACTAATATAATTTTATAATCGTAAATTAAGTGCTAAAATTTTCAGATATTCACTGAAGAGTCCAAAACAGAAGAAGAACTTCCATCCTGAAAACCGTAGGGGGTGGTACAAGTACGGCATCCATTATCAGACTTTTGTTCTTTATGGAATGCAGCATGAAATTTTTGTTTTTCAACTCCCACAGAGACTTTCTTCATAGGCTATTTCTTCGCACGGCCTAGCATCACATATTTTAAAGACCCTAGTAATCCTTTCACTCGTCATTCACGAGCGTCCTCGGTTTTTTCATGTGGGTTCAGCTGCTTCTTGAGGGTTTTAGTTTTCGGCATGAACGTCGTTGGAAATATCGACTGGAATCTTGGGCTAACGGTACTATACTGGTCACCAAAATTCCAGATCTTAGTCACAGTCGTAAGCCATCTTTTATGGATTCGAGAGAGAGAGGAAGAGAAATGATCCCATACAAGTCTGGTACCAATTTTCTGAACCAAATGGAATAGAAGGCTTGGTTAGGTCAGCGTGAGGTCGAACTAGGGCCTAGCGCCTATTGAACGGCATTATTATCAGTCTGCTCCACGCATCTATTATAAAACCGTAAAACCAGTTAATTAGGTGGAGTAACTCTGTTATTTCTTTCCCAGGTCATCAGCATAGACGGTTTCCTATTCCTAGGACACAGAATAAAGATCTTCCACTTTGCGACTAAGTTTGCCGACAGGACCGTTGTCTTTCTTAGCATCGGCCTACTGCGCTTTTCGGTTTGAAATATTGAATACCTTATCCGATTGATGAACGGGGCTGAAAATTATTTGACTATAGTATGTTATATGAATAAATGTGCTTCGTTGTGAATTAGATCAGGTTTTATGAGGTAAAATTTCAAAAAAAGAGTGCTATTGTCCACATCTTAATTTAGCGCTAATTCATTTTTTCGTAGAGAATCTGAGTATCAAACGATTTGCTCGTGCTAAATGGGCAAATGTTTTTTCTTTGCTGGGCGGAGAGTTAACGCTAAGCAGTTATTCCTCACTTCTTCTCAGTTTGCTCATCGTCGTGCTATTCTACCCATTACATCCTATCACTGCAAATTGTTAACATTCCGTCTGAAATCACCATCTTCACACATCTAGGTCGATTTCAATAGGTCTAGGTTCATTATCACCAGAGTTCTCTATAGAGTTTATTAACAATAATTGTGCAGTGATTGACCGCCCACTGATGATTAACAACATGTCTCTGGAACGCCTAATTTTTGGGTTTCTCTTTCGATCAGCAAGAGGAATTTGTTAACTCCGATGCGATTTAGTTTCTACTGGACTTTTCAAAAGTTTAAAATACCTTTGTAATTCTTTTCAGCCAATAAACCAATCAAATCTCTTTTGAAGCCTATTAATTCTACGAAATGAGCAGTGAGTTTTCTGATAGTGAACGACCGAAATTGTGTAGAGCTACCGTAACCTATCATGGTAAACTACAGGTGAGAATATTTATGGAATTCTTGGAATGCTTGATTGGCCTTTATAAAATTAAGACAAAAAAAATTATTCTCGGCATTTCCGGTAATTTTCTTTTATCACAAGAACACTGTTAATGCTTATTTAAAGCTCATTTTTTAACCTTTCCTTAAATTTTGCGGCAGTAACGCCATTTTCTTCTTTCCTCTTCGTGCAATTTTCGTGAGCGAAATTCTCACTGTGAGATAACTTCTTCTATCTAAGTGGTATTTAATTTGTACGAAGATTCCCCAATAGAAATAGTAGGTTCGGGCTTCTACTTTGAAAATTGAAAATAGAGATTGGCTGTCGAAAAATTAACCAAGCGAATAAAAAATTCCGTTTTGGAAATTTGTAGTATGGAATAGAAAATGAAACATTCTGTAGAAAACAAAGTATTCAGGTAACAACCTGTAAAAATAAAGCCATGAATTATAGTATGATATAGTAAAATGAAGGGGCGTGTGTTGGCGGAGGCACCCTGCAAAACAGGTAAAATCGATCCCCGCCCCTTTGGCCCACCAAGTCTTCCATCCCGCCAGGGTTGGTAAATTGGTGCCAGACTCGTATGGGAGGTTAGTAGCACATGCTCGACACATCAGTAGCCCATCACGAATCATTGTAAAGACCTCATTTGCATTCAGTCACCTCCAATGATGCTTAATGAAGTCGAATGCACAGTGCATCCCTCAGGGATTGATCAATGCCGAAAGCTTTATCCTTTTTTATAGGAAAATGTTTTTTGGTTAATTTGGGTTAAAGATTTTTTAAAAACCACGCATGAGGCTGTATTGCATGAACTGGTCTTACTACAGCATAAAACTTAGGGAAAAATTTCGAATGACATGATAGAAATTGAATAGCCTACTCCTTCAAGAGTTTCAGATCTCACAAAAGCTACGGGCTGTAATGATGCGACATTGTTGATCCATCTTTGAACACTTATGCATGAAAGTCTTACGTTCTTGTGGATTAAGCACTAATGATGACGCCTACTTTTCGCCGATTGGGGAAGCTTCAAAATCTCACGTTTTAGTCACCTTCAAAACACTTTCCAATGTAGGGAAACAATATTTATAATTATTTTTTCTCAATATTCGTTAATTTTTGGCTACGAAGTCCATGCTGAAGTTACTGCGTTGCAGTGATACCAAATGGTCATTCGACTGATCGTAGGAACTGCTGAACTCATAGGAATTATTAGTGCGTCCTCGAAGAATTCTTATCCTTCAAATCTCTTTTCAATTCACTAAATCCAGCGACTGCCTGTGATGATGAGCTGAGCGCTGTCCAGTACCTAGAGATTCTAGGTATAACCACGCTCAACCAGCGTTGAGCATGTCCCTGGCGAGAGAAGGCGAAAGATTGTTAAGCCATGGTCGAGCCTACACACAAAGCAATCTACCTTCGTGGATTTGTGGTTGGAAAAAAATGAATTGAATGAAAGAAGTGATAAATGCAAGACGTTGTTATTTACCCATAATTATAAGCTTGTAAATTGCATTCCTATCATCATCAAGGGTCGGCAGACTCTATTTGCGAAATTGTTTTTTTATTGGATGTTCTACTGAAAACTATCCACTGGAGAATATACTCGGTGGTAAATGGTCTATAAAAATCCCCTATCCGAGCTAGATACTCTCACTCGAATATTTCATTAAAAATAACGGTCATCCTACGTGGACAGCACGCTGGTGGTCCCGCTCTCAACAGCACGATCCCGAGGAAGGCGAAATCGTCGAAGCGTCAGCCAACGAGCAACGGCAACAGCAACAACAACGACAAATTATACCAACCTTTAATCAGCTCAGCAAGGGCAGCTTTTATGAACATGTATACATATATATACATATATCGGTCATATACGCCGAGGTTTATAGAAAATTGGTATTTTGAGTTAATACTTAAGAGTCTAATAAAAATCACCACCCCTAGAGAACCCCATGGCACAGAACCTCTCATGACAGAATATGTGGTCATAATTGCGGTCTCACTAAAGGATTCTATTGTCTTCCTGCATAGTTCAAACAAAAAGCGGTATTTTGAGCAAATGTGAGCTTATCAGCAAGGAGTTGGCAGGGTTCAGTACTACTAAAGTAGGCGAAGAGCCTTTCGTCTTTTAAATATTGCAGAGTATCGGCTGTCAACAGAACTCTGCATTCCACTTTACACAGTGACACAGTGACGACAATGATGGGTTCAACACGCTTGACCACTTTTAAGTCGAACAGGCGTACGACAATGAGATCGCATAAATGACGGCGGTCGTTATGACGAAGTTGTTGGTAAAAACTTAACGTCTTGGTGGGACATGTGGGGATTTAGGTGCCTTACCGTGGCTCATTTTCATCCAAGCTTTCCCAGGCACAAGGTTTCAGGTTTTTCCAATCCAGCTATGGCTTGTCATTTTTTTCTTTAGAAAAGGATCACTTGTCGGTATCGCTGTGACGAGAAATGTAGCCTCGCTGCACTGAGCATCTGCTTGAACCTTGGAGAAAACTATGCACAACTATTTTTTTGCAACAGCTAGAACTTATGACCTTTTACTATCAACGTCAAAAATTATAGTCAATTAAAAGTAGAGTCTACTCTGAAAGATTTATTAAGCAGGAATCGATGAAGCTTCATTTTCAAAGTCTCACCAACTTTCTTACCGTAAAAATGCATGGAGCTTTAACGAAAGAAAAATTTTACATGCTAATGGGAGAACGAGATTTCTTCCGTACTAGCAATACCACCAATAAACTACTCTTATACGTTTCAGCTAGCTAGTTTCTTTTGTTTCTCACGGGTACCTTGCTTTGTGTTTACTACAGTATGACAAAGAAAGTTTAGAAGAGTGTGGAAAGAGGTGGAGCAATTCAACTTAAAACCCTAGATTTCAACTGATGGTTGGGTTTCATTAACTCCGTAGTCATTTTCAGTTTCAAGATCGACTGTCATATATCGACAAACGTTACGATCATCTACGAAAATTAACGCAAACACTAAAAAAGAAGATCAACGAATTGGAAGTGAGGCAGACTTATCACTGCACAAATATATTTTAAACGTCTACTTAATTTAGAATATAATGAGTACTGCTCTAGGTTACTGTATTTGTAGGACATAATGCGACAAGACAATGACGAAGAGAATCTGGAACAGATCAGAACGTTGATTGAGGACATCAAACGGGAGAAGCAGATGATGCGTGACGAAGCGCATATTATTCGTGGTGAACTCTCACAGGCGCTGTACAACGAGGATCTGAGGTTTGTTTTAAAATGGATAGTCGATATTTTCCGAATAAAACTGCTCTTTTCAACAGCTTTCAAGCAGGATTTCTCTATTATGTTGTAATCCTGCTAAGTTGAAGTGCTTCACTGTGCAAAAAGAGAGTCTGTCAAGTATCGAGGAAATTTATTCAGAGACAGTTTGGGTTGTGTACGACCGTACTACTGCTCCATCACACGACATAGGTGTAGTGAATACGTCCTAAAAGTAGAAAAAAACTGCCCCATTGATTCTTCAAAAGTAAAACCCCATCGTTGCATGTACGCATCTCACCTATTATCCAATGCGAACACCTATCTATGGTCAAACCGCGTCATTGTCCTCGATGTTCATTCTGGCGCTGCCGCGAAACTCAACGAGTCCGTCCCACCGACGCGTCGAATTTCTAACAGATGTCCCGTTCCTTACTAAAAGACGCGTCTATTTCCAAAACGTTGCGTTCTGATGAAGTGATGGTAGTGTAACCGAAAAATTTTGAAATAGTCTTAATCTATTGCATAACCTTTGCAACCACAGTGGTATAGTAAGCGGTTAATTAAGAGAAATAGGCAAAGGTAGAAATACTGTCAATGGAGTGATAAATAGTTACCTTTTTCTATCTCTCACCTATCTATCCAGTTCTCATATGTCCTGAAATTTGAATAGGGCATTTACTAAGTTAAGTTTATATTGAAGCAAAGCAAATTTTTTTTCGTCGTTCAAAGATATTGTGCGCTCTGCACTTCATAGCGCGTACACATTTAGTCCGCGTGCAGTGCATTGAATAGATATTGATGGGCGCTGCGCGTTGGTCAATACTCACTGCGACCGTATCGAAGAATTTCTGGATGTATATGTAGTATAAATCCAGTGATATGGCTTCAGGCTTCTCAGGTTGACCTTAGAGGCCGTTTACCTTGTTAAATGTTCGATATACGGAAATCGGCACTAGCATAAGACTTTAAAGAGTCGCTCCAGTAGCTTAAAAGTGCAACCAGGTCAGTAAAAATTCTCGCTAACTTCCCACAGGCTGTTTGGTTTGTTACTGGTTTTCTACGTTTTAAGCTTTTATCCCGAAATAACTACGCATGTTTGGTGTTATTTTAGATCGCATGTATTGAACTTCGTCCCAGAGTTTGAGGAAATTTGGCACGACACTCCAGAGTACGTTTTCAGTTTATTCCAAGCGAATGTGCATGTGTTACGTGCTAGCTCTACGTTTTTACTTACATAATCTCGAATTCGTAAAATTACTAGGTAAAATTTCTTCTATACATCTATTATTACTGAATATTATTGCTTAAACGCAGATTAAGGGCCTCCGTGGCGCAGTATGTCATGCACGAGTACCCGGAAAGGGAAATCGTGGTTGGATGTGGCCCGGAGTCCAGGTTTTGCAAATATTTCAACATCTATAATTCTGAGGTATTTGCAAAATACCCTGCCATTAAAAAGAATAGGCAGTAAATATAATGTTAAGACCGTTATTATAACTATAGCCTCAGCTTAACTGGGTTCAATGCCAATTTGGACTCCCCAGATAGATCCCCTTGAGGGTGTTTGCTGATGGCAGTGATCGCTACAACTACCTGAGAGACAGGCGAAACGAAGCACCTCCATGGTGTGGTGGTAAACGCGTTACTCTCCGGAAAGGACAATAGCGCGTTCATTCCCCACCGCAGACACCTGCGGTCCAGAGTTTTGCAAATATCTCAGCAACGTTGTGGTTGTATTTCGCTTAGTAACCTGCCATGAAAATTATAGAAGGCAGAAAGCAAAACGTTAAACATTGTGATTTCAACTACAGCCATAGCTTAACTGGGTTCTATGCCGATTTGCGCTCCCCAGATCAACCCCGCTGACGGGTGATTGCTGTGGCAAAAAGATCGATAGAAATAGCTGAGAGACGTGCGAAACAAAGGACCCGCATGGTGTGGTGGTGAACGCGTTACTCCCCGGAAAGGACAATAGCGCGTTCGTTCCCCACCATAGACACCTGCGGTCCAGAGTTTTGCAAATATCTCAGCAACGTTGTGGTTGTATTTCGCTTAGTAACCTGCCATGAAAATTATAGAAGGCAGAAAGCAAAACGTTAAATATCTCAGCATCATTAGAGTTATATTTCGCAACCAACCTGTCATTAAAAAGAATAGGCTGTAAATAAAAAGATTAAGATTATCCCAACATCGTTGTGGTTATTATTAAATAATTCTAAGGTCTGTTGTTCAGGTCTGCTCTCTTCATTTAGTTCTTGCTTACTTCTCATTCTTATTCTTAACACGATTATTATTTAGTTACGGTTATCAACGCGCAGTTTTGTTGAAATTTTTTGATCTGACAAACTTGAGACACTTCATCCACCTGCAATGAAATGTGGTGAAGGTCGTCTACATAGAAGGGAAGCGGTGAAATTTAAACTGTATAAATTTTTTAAAAAAGGTACGGAAATGTAAACTATGTGGGTAGATGTCAGCATCATTATCTGCCATCGTCAAAAAATACTAGCCCAAATTAATTTCTGATTATTGTGTGTTCAAAGTTTTTCTAGTAGCAGTAGTACTTAAATGGATGCTCTAAAGCCAGCCGACTGCTTGTGATGGAGATCCGGAAACGCCCTTACAGAGCTACCTCAGGATTCCAGGGAGGAAACAACATTCCATGACATTTGTGACGAACGTGAAGAAATTCTTATGCAACAGCCGTTCCTACGAGCAAAAAAGTTCGAAAACCTTTTTGGATTCTAGGAAGCGAATGGAATGCAAGACGTGCTGGTATCCGCACATTTGATAGATGTACCTGGTGTTGGGTCACGTAATGGTATTAATGCCAAAAAATTATTGATTATTACCAATGCTATTTGCTTTATTATTACTATTAGTACTCTGTATTATTATTGCGCTCATTGTCGCCATTATTACTATTATTATTATTGCTAGTTTTACAAACATTTATTGCTATTATTTCTTCTATCATTGCTATTATTATCACTACATACTGAGTTTAGTGAATTCCAGAGTTCTGTTCAGAGCGGATTCTTTTTCAAAACACACTATACATAATCCTTCTATAACTAATCGTAAGCAAATCAAAATTGTCGGGGTAAGGTCGAGAAAATCATTCTTTACAATTAATGGTCTACGAAAACCCTTCCTTCAAAGAAATTCATCGACTGATGGTTCGGCTAAACAAGTAGCAGCATACATTTCCTTAATATCCATAGAACGATAGAACAAAGTTCCTTATATAACTCTTCGTGTTCTCAACCCCTAAATCACTCTATTTACTAAAAGACTATATTTTATATTCAAATGACCAGAAATTCCGCAGCCGACGAAAAATCGCTCGTAATCGGGTTGGCGAACCACGTGGTACGGTACCCGAGCCTTATGTGATATGGAAATCTCATACCATTCTATAGTACCCCGCTTTTGTTTAACAACAATTTTCTGGAAGTTTTATGGCTTCTATGAACTCTGCATTTGCTGGTTTTTTCTTGTCCTACTTTCCACCACCTGTTTTCGTTTCGTTGGTTTTCGATTTATTGCTGATGGCACTTTTTTCTTCCTGATGTTTGACAAATAATGTTGCGTTTGCTTACCGTGTGGTTTTTATGCAATCATCATTTATTTAATGTTATGTGACATATTATGTATTTCTCGAGACACGAAATACTCGGACGAATGCGATATTTGTTCCGGCACCAGCCAACTGATCAGGGACAATGTCCCAGAAATGAACAATTCACGAGAGAACAAAAGTCACGGCTTCAAACTAACGCTTTCACATACTGGTAGCCATATGCAGGAATGGCTCACAACTTTTGCGAAGAACATTACTTATCTTTTTACTATGAGCCACGAATATCACAGCGCTTAGAAGTACACTGCAACACATATTTTGTTTTGATTCGATACCGCACTTTGCCCTAACCAAACCTTTCATTCTTTGGGGGTTGGAAAATTAGTAGCTGACTTGTATAGAAGGATAAAGCATTAACATTATACATCGGTGGGTCCCCGAAGATCACTGTATTGTCAGATATGCATTCAAACATTATTCGGTGCCAGAAATAGAGTTAAATACATAGCGCCCTTTTACGCGTCTGACCAACGCCGAACGCTTTATTCTTTATTTATTTGTAACTACCATATTTGTACAGTGCATTGTGCCAGTTCTGCTATCCTTCCAGATAAATAAAACAGATAACAGATGACAAATTAACCTATCACCAGTGGCGCGTGTAACGCAGAGGTCGAAGAACCCCTGCAATACACATGGAGTCGATCCTCATGCCCCAGGTTCATTAAGCCTTCCATCCCTCTGAGGCTGCCAAATTGGTACCAGACCGGTCTGCCACGATAACAGCACTGGACTTGATAGATACATCGTTAGGCCACCGCGAGTCCTTGTAAAGGCCAGATATGCACTCAGTCACCTCCAAACGATGCTTAGTGAAATCGAATGTATGGCATATCCCTAAGGAATTGATCAACACCGAAAGCTTTATCCTTTTATACTTTTACTCTTATTGTTTTTTCAGTTTTTTCATCACCAGTAACATTTAACGAATGTCATTTTTCTTTTTGCAAGTGAGCATTAGAACAAGTACTATATGGGTTCTTTATTATTACGACATGTGTTCTGGACTAATTCCACCGTTTTGTTATTTTTCTCACTTTTCTCTCTTTATTCAACACATGTCCATTTGCGATTGTCTGCTACTTTGCTTGTCTAAGGTCACATCAACACGCATGAAAAGCGAATCGAATTGGAGCTTTTCAATAGCTTTTAATGTTTTTAGTCATTGCAAAAGCTTCAAAGTTATTCAAGTAACAGAATAATGGTTTATGGATAAAAAACCCCAGATAAACATAACCAGAAGCTCGACGAATGAGGTTCAGAAGCAAAAATTTATCTCATGTCTTGTTTTGGTCAATGCGTAACCACTACCATAATAGGTTATTATTGATTTCAGTTTTAGAAGTCATACTTAGCTTCAACGTCACGTTGACCCTTAAACAACGACATAACGTGTATGGGAGTCATGGAAACCGAAAGTATTGGCAGCTTTCAAATTAGAATCGAGAGGTCTTAGCTCTTTGTGAATGTCATTAATTTCAATAAAAACGACTAGCATCTGCAAATGTTTTTGTGTAGGAAAAAATTCTTCTTATTTCACTAAGGTAAAATTTTCGTCCTCGGAGTCAATTACATATGTTCCCTGCACTTTACTGTCTGACAGCTCATATTTCGAAAACAAAAGCAAATGAACAACCGAAATCATTCCAAAGACATTACGGTGCTCCTCAACGTACTGTTTCATGTTTTCAGTTGCCGTTTCGACGTGGAAAGTTTCGAAATTTTCGCTCTTCATTCTCGTATCCTTGAAAATCCAAGTTCTAAACGTATTGAAATTTTGAAAAACACTGCATATAAACCGTATATATAACTAGTGTGATATAGCAAAGTCTCTTCTATTAACAAATACGTGGAATCGATCTCCGCACTGATGGCCCACCAAGCATTCCATCCCTTTGGGGTCGGCAATTTGGTACCAAACTTGTCTGAGGACAGTAACACTGGCTCGATACATCGGTAGGCCACCGCGAGTCATTGTAAAGACCAGATATGCATTCAATCACCTCCAACGATGCTTAATGAAGTCGAATGAATGGCGCATTCCTTAGGGAATAATCAACGCCGAGAGCTTTATAGCTTTATCCTTTAACCTTTTTGTTTCTATAAATATGCAAATTTCCCAACTTCTGAAATATTCTGCTGATCGAAAAATTTCCGCCAACTGTCAAAAAACCAAGCAAATTCGTCGCGAAAGGCTTTATCGAACTTTTGAGTGGTAAAGACAAATATACTCAAAAAAGAACGACTTTGAGTTATTACAGGAAACGGCTGGTGGGTGAGATTCGTCGTCGTGAAGAGGAGTCGGAACGACGACAAAGTACCAGTCAAGGAGAGGACGATGTATATAAGCCGCTATCTTCAAATGAAGACTGTACATACAGAGAGACAAGCTTTTAATTACGATTTATTACCACTTTAACTAAACAGCTGCAGATTGTGTAACTTCACAGAATGCTGTAAATATGACGGCAATGGGTCGCTTGTACCTCATTGTACAAAATTCTGTGCACGCTTTAGAAAGTGGTCTAACGTAACGTGAAGAACAGAAAGCAGCGATCCATTCATCTACGTTGAACTATACTACTGTAATTCAGATTTTTCCTAACCTCCTCAAGTTTTCAAGGTAATTTCGATGTTTGTGTTAGAGTAATAATCCTGTCGTAAGAAACTTCAGAATATCCGTCAACAACTGATTACGGAGGGAAACCACTAAGTTGTTTCCATTGTTTCCCAGTACTTTTGCGATAGTATTTTTATTCTGAATAGTGTGTGTATAGTTCCGGTCATTGTTTAACTATTTGCTAAGGTATTACTCATAACTTTATCACAGGCTGCTAAGCCGATTGTCAATGAAGATCATTCCTATGTTCTAATTATCTGAATATTTAAATGACCCGTCTTCACGAATCACGAAGGATCGAGTAAGTCCCAACAAACTTCCCTTTGATTATTACTTCAAACGTTTAAAAAGTACACTAGTAATTAGCGTGTAGGTGTGTTCTGAAAGTCATCCAGGAATAGATTCAAATCTCACAAACTTTGGGAAGGAATCCCAGATCACCAAAAAATTGGGAAGATAAGCATAATTTTGTCAATTGTAGTTATCTTTTCGACTAATACTTAACTTTAACGAACAAGATTTTCCAGCTGAAATAGAAAATGACTTAAATTGTCTTTATAACCAGTAAAAATAACAGGGACATACGACTTGATAGAAATTAACGACGTTACGTTTCAAACATGATCGCATTCCTTAAGTTTTCCTCTTCTACAAACTGAACACCGTATCGCTTAAGCTGCTCATCAGTTGGAGGGACAGGAGCCTGGCTTACAAAATCACGACCCTCCTTGGATTTTGGGAAAGCGATTACCTGAACAATACATATGATACCACATATTGGAAGCCACTGCTATTAAAAAACACCGATGTTTCGTTTTTTTTTTTTCCTTACACTTACATCACGAACTGGTACAGAAGGATCCCCTTCACCTACAAGCAGAGCTATATAACGATCTAACCCTAAAGCAAATCCACCATGTGGAGGACTTCCGAAAGACAATGCATCAAGAAGATGACTCTGAAAGAAATTGATTACAGTAGTACACAACACTGAGAAATACTTTGCCGTACACAAATGGTTTTGGAATGGTAATTGTAAGATTGGTGAGAAATCGATTGAGCTTTCTAATCGTTAAAATAATGTATGTACAACTGACTAACTTTGGGATTGCTTCATAAGAGGTGTCTGTAAACAAACCATCTCTTGAGTGTCTTGTCCGAGAATTTCCAGAACTTTAGCTTGTTCCTTCGAATTATGAATACGAATAGAACCACCTCCTAATTCAACACCATTCATTACCAAGTCGTAATGTTGCCCTTAAAATAACAACTACCGTGTCTTACGTACTACCTATGATACAGCTATAAATAGTTAATACCAGTTTACTAGGAGAAAAATCCCTTAGCAATCCATTGGAAATCGTAGATCCATAAAAAAGGAATTTAAAACTGTGATCTATTTGCAACAGTTACATTAAGTCTCCGTTAGGCAGCTCTTTAACGAAAGTGCTTCAGATCTTTCATATCAACCACAGCAATGATGAGTCACCGACTAAGCCATTTTTCATTTTAAAAAAATATGATTAGGAAACAACTAATGTGAAAACTGTGTAGTGTAGATGAAAGGGTAATGCTATACCCTTACCTAGTCGTAAAACGTCACTTAAGAGAAGATTGTGGACACTGCTATATTTATGGGTAGTGAAGAGATCTTCGCTGCCGATGTCAAGTTCTTGATTAGAAAACAATGAAAGCATCGTACAGTCTGTACTTCCCATCCTCTTCATCATTTGTGAGCCCTTTCATCTTCTATTTCTCATAATTTTTCTAAAAATGTGTGTAATTATTAACTACATTGGCGATTGAATTCGTGCATGTGTCTATGCCCCTGATTGTCGTTTTTTCTCCTTATCAAGCGTACATTAAGAATGTAGTTCCATGTAATCACGACGTAGCCATACTAGAGAATTTCCAACTCTTCATTATAGGCAGTTATCGGTCTTTCCCTTGTCAGTAGGTTCGATTCCCTACAAGGAGATTCTTCAATCAGGACAACGATTTCTACGAATGAAGTAAAATCATAAAGATCCCCTAAGTGATTTTAGTTCATTACCAAATTACTCCTATGCCTTTCCTCTCTACAAGCTAACGCAACGAAAAGAGGTTCTCTTTCCATTATTGAGCATGGATAGAAATGGTGTATGTTAAGAGAGGGTTGGTAGGCAAACTTGCATGTTCACTAAAACTCATGTACAGATAAATTTCTGATATTCTAAACCAATAAACTTGTGTCAAAATACGCTAAAACGATAAATGTGCTAAAATTCGAAAAAGAGGATAAAACAAATACAGCTACCAAAATTCTAGCTAATATGAATTTTTACTTCGCTCACCGACTATGTTAGAGATCTTCGTGCTGTCATCAAGCCATTGTTTGTGTTCTTCTATAGGCGCCGTGAAAGGATGGTGAGTTGCGACCAGCTTGTCATCCTCTACGGAAAACAAAGGAAAATTGACGATCCAGTGTGCACAAATCTGAAACGAATCTTCGACTGCTAGCATGAAAAACAGTTCTAACGAAATCAATCAAGTAAGTAGTTAACTGAACCTTCAAACTTTGTAGAAAAATACAAGTAACTTAACAACTATTAGAGGAAAAAAACATGTAAGCTGGATTAACAATGATGTCACCGAAAAGTACTGAACTGAGATCCATAAATTTTTTGTTACTAGGTTCCAACGCTCCAAAGCACTTGGAGCACCAAAGATTTCTAATAAGACATTTTTTTTCTTTTTGAAGAAAAAAACTAATTGACTAGCCTTCCTCTGCTTGCGAAGTTCTCCAGCATCTGCAACGAAATTCCGTAATTGACCAAGTGTCCATTGCACACCTTCCTCATCTCCCCAGCTAAATGTGACAAAAAAAATTTAAAAGAACTAAGCCAAACTTCAAACAAGAATCAACGAAAGAAAAACTGACCTAAAAACCACACAGTCTTCTTCATCAATAAGAAAACGTGTGACCAATTCATTTTTATCTATCTTCTTGAACCACACATCTTTAGTCCTGTCAAAGATCGCAAATGGCTAAAATTCTATTTAAAGGACAATGTAAACTCATGGATGGATGAAATTTCTATGCAGTCTCACTCGATAATAAATATTAAAATGTTAGGCGCCGACCAATCCTCGACGGTTGTGTTACGCATTCCATTCCATTAGGACGCATACTTGACTTATACAATGATTTGTTGGGGTTCAACGACCAACCAGGTGTGACTTTCTACCCTTCCAGGCAGTTATAAGAAGTATTTAATAATCCTAAAAAGACGGGAGGCTTGATTTATCTGAGGCGCAAGATCGAACCAGAGACCGACTGCGCTTTGAGTTATCTCGAAGCACCGTACTGCGCTAGACTTATCGACTCACATATACATAAACATGTATAATGTATGCATATATGTACCTATGGGGATGCGCTTAGGGCAGTGTCGGAGGCTTTCTGCCCTACATATAGGATCGATCCACGCCCCAGGCTCACCAAGTCCTCCATCCCTCTGGGGTCCAAAAATTGGTACCAAACTTGTGTAGGAAGATAGCAACACTGACTCGATATCGGCAGACCACCGCGAGTCATTATACAGGCCAGATATGCATCCAATTACCTCCAACGATAGTTAATGAAGTCGAATGCATGACGCATCCCTCAGGGATTGATCATTACCGGGAGCTTTATCCCTTTTATGTGTATTTATAATAATTTTGTTTCGGAAATTTTTACTTTTTATCCCACTTTTCGTTATAGTGTTATCGTTATCTCTATAACAAGTGGATGTAAACAACGATTTCGAACGTTTTTAGAAAAGAACAAAACAGTAAGAGGTATAAAACACTCACGCGAGAAAGTTTATTCATATCCAAAATTCTTTTAAATTCCTTCTTTACAGCAGTTCGATTGACCTTTAATTGCCCTTTGCACACAATTAGACGAGCAACCCAGTCATAGCTTACGTTGGAACTACGAAGAAAATCTAAAACTATGCGGCGAAGTTGAAAAGAAATATAAGTGCCTGGGGCTTAGAATGAAGTATTAAGTAGTTATTTTTTTAAAAAACCAGGAATTGTTCAACTGTCAAAAACGATCAAAATTATTGAACACAAAAATCACCACCATCTTCTGCAAAACGGCAGCTCTAAAATGAAATTGATGGGGTTTTGAAGAAAATAAAAGTGCTGAAACTGCCACCTACACAATAAAGATTTCTAAAAACGGGAGAAAATTATGAAAAAAAACCGAGTGTCTGTGTGCAGTCTTGGATGCGCCATGGAATTCTCATGTCCGGTTTATCGCTACCGTAATTTTGCATTGCTTCGTTGTAATTCAGACGTGGAAACGGTGTTGGGGGCTTCAGGTCGGCCTTTAAATGGTGAATACATTTTGTTTTCCGTTCTAACAAAGCCTCTTCAGTAACTTGAAATAGCGAACACACCAAACAGTAGAAAAAATTATCTGAAAACACTATGAAACATAAAATTGACGGTTTAATCCACTTCAGGTTATCATATTACACAAACAAAACTTAAAATTGAATAGGTTAAACTAACCAAATGTTCAGGCCATGCTGACATCAATGTTTCCTCCACTAGAGCCATTACACCATCCTGAGTGGTGAACGACAATTCCAGATCTACCTAAAGAAAAATTAGGTTATAGCAATTGTCAAATCAAGGATACAGAGATCCCATGTTGCTATAAAAGTATTGCTCTTCCCCACAGCAGACACCTGCGGTCCAGAATTCTGCAAGTATCTCAGCAACGTTGTGCTGTATTTCGCTTAGTACCCTGCCGTGAAAATTGCGGTAAGCAGAAAATAAAAGGTAAAATACTGTGATCTCAACTACAGCCTAAGTTTAACTGGGTTCAATGCTGATGTGGGCTCCCTAGATCAATTCCGTTGACGGGTGATTGCTGATGGCGCCGATCGAATGAACTAGCTGAGAGACAGGCGAAACGAACGACCCGCATGGTGCGGTGGTGAACGCGTTACTCCCCGGAAAAGACAATGGCGCGTTCGTTCCCCACCATAGACACCTGTGGTCCAGAGTTTTTGCAAATATCTCAGCAATATTGTGAAGATACCTTTGTTTAAAAAAAAAGAAAACGTGCAGCATTACATGAATGGTCCGATCTTCCTCGTTTCCTGCAAAACTAAGGAGCCTATTACGTAATTCTGTTCCGCAGAACCTCTACTTTTGCCCGTTCTGAATTTTCGAGAATCAATCTCGTCAAATTTGCACTGATATTTTCCATCGAAGAAAAAACAACAGCAAATCAACATAGGTGCCTTCACGCATGTCTCATTACGTTTCCACCCGGACGTCTACCTAAGAGTAAATCAGTACCGGAAATCATCGCCGTACTGGCATCAAACTTGTTGCAATGTGGCGATTCTCCCTCTGATTCACAAGGACAGGCGACTGCCTCCGGTGATGAAGATTTGAGGAAGGTACCGGCTACGTTGACTTCGGAGCTCCAGGGAACCACATTTGCTGAGGTAGCAAAATTTCGGCCTCATACCCCACATAATGGTCGTTTCCGGCTATGACCTAGAGTAGTTACACAACCGGTGAGAGGCGATCAAATCTCGGGTTCCATAGGATGCCACTGAAAACGGGGAAAATGAGCACCCCCATGGCACGACATGGAGACTGCTTTTTTCTCTGCATGTACAACACCATGATAGTTCCTTCAGATGTCGACGTTTATGCTTTTCTTAAAGCCATTAGTTTCCAAGTGATCGCCTTCCAACAGATGAAAGATAGGAAAATCAAAATAGGTCATTTAGATAGCGAAAACCTTGTCATTCTTTGAGTCAAATTTCCGTTACTGGGATGTGTTAGCTTTGTCGTGCATCCATCTATTTCCCATCAAGTCACCTCATACGAAATTCTATCATCGTGGTTGGCCATTCTTTTTCTTCAATTTGCGCATCAAAACAGTGTTTGCATCATGAACTGTTATTCACCAATTTGTGCAGCTGATGAGAGCGAACTGGAAGCGCTTTACAAACTGTTGGAGGAAGTTCGTTGCTGGAAATACCAACGCTAGATTGCGAATAGCCAACAATTCGGAATAGGAGTACGAAATGAAAATGGAAAAGGACTCTGCAGTAAGCCTCGTCCATGGGAATTTGCTTATCAAGAGGAATGAAAATCGCCGATGAATATGGTGGTCCTCTAACGATACGACTAATGCGATCAACAGTATTCTCACAATCAGAAGATGGCATCTCTTTCAAACGTCGATGCTATCTGGATTCTGTGTTGAATCTCATTTCGCCTTTTCCGTGTCGATTCATTCACAAACCGGAAAAGATTAATGGATCCAAAGTCTCGCGCCCAAATTTCCGACTCAACTTCTCTCCCAGCGCACGATTATGCCTGCAGAGACGTGTGCTGATACTTCAACCATGTCAAGAAATCTATGCACCACCCACTGATGGCTTTAACGATGTTTGCCGAAAGTTGACTGCCACTCACAACGTCTAACCGGAATGCGCAGCTCAGACCTTCAAAACCTATGCGTTCTTCGGGATCCAGGGCAATGTACATCAATGGAGAAGCAAAAATGGATCGCTCACTTAACAACATGGACGGATAACAGATGGACGAAAATAATACTGGATTAAACTCCAAAAGGATGTAAGTGTCCCCGTGGAAGGCCACAACAACGAGGGCCGGACGTGTTCGTGGTCAACGTCAACCATTTGTCTTCGCAGATGGAAGCGCTTTTAGGAATTCGGTATGGACGTCGAGGGCATCAAGTTCGAAGCTATCATTATCATGTGAAACAATTGCGCGAGAAAGAAACGGACGGAAAATTATGCTAGAGCTTAAGCCAACAGTGAAGACGGGACATTTAATTGTCTAATTAACTAATATGTCACTTGCAAAGATTGACTGCATAATCCTAGCTGGGAGTGCTCATGGATGTTAAACTTCAATGCGAAGATGGGCTACCGCTCCAGTAGGATCGAAAATCTTAGCAGTTCACAATTTCAATTCAAAACATAGCTAGGAGTAAAGTCATGCCATTGGAAAGCACTGGCAGTTACCCTTGTCTAAGCTCTTGCCTAACACACTACGAATCATACAAAAAGTGCTGTTTTTCAAGTTCCTAAGTCCATTGACCAGCTCCATCGAGTTACCGGGTGATTAACGGAACTACAGGTGATAACAGTGGATATTTGATCAATAAAAGCATAAATCTCTCGGCGTTGATCAATCCTTGAGGGATGCGCCATGCATTCGACTTCACTAAGTATCGTTGGAGATGATTGAATGCATATCTGGCCTTTACAATGACTCGAGGTGGCCTAACGATGCATCGAGCCATTGCTGTTACCCTCGCAGACAAATCTGGTACCAATTTGCCGACCCCTGAGGGATGGAAGGCTCGGTGGGCCATGGGCGCGGGGAACGATTCCACGTGTGTGTCGCAGTGGTGCCTCCAACCACTGCGCCTTACGCACCCTTATGTGATCAATAGGCACATATTATTTATACTATGTAGTTATTTCCCACTAGGATCTACATTTAAAATCCTCCAAATTAGATTTTGCTGCAACGATGTTTGTAGCACATAATACAATAGAATGAATCGACCATTAAGACCTCTAAAAGAAGATGCCATCCATGTCGCTAATTCATATTCCCAAGCTCACTTGTTCGAAGTCACCGTTCCATTAGTATTCCGCTGCCAAGATGCTAAGCACTTCGTTACCGACTTTACGCCGAGGTTCACCAACAACACTACGCGGAAACTATAATGCTGGAAATGACCGACATATCCTCTCAACTAGTTTGAAACATCATCTAGGCCGAGAGAAATCGTACGTACCGAGCTACGATTTACATGTGAGGTTCATACCGCCAGCAGAGTTTTCCAAAATGAAGAACTCAACATTCTGATTCAGAAGCACACTTAAGAGTGAAACAATAACAACAATCACTGCTGTCTTAGGAAAACTTAATCGCACGATAGGAAATCTCCCTCTAATTCGAAAGGTCTGCTTGCGATTGCCTGCCGTTACAAACTGACATCCTTACACAAGCGAATGAGAGAATACCTTTGGTCGACTAACAGGAATCCAAATTCATCCTACCTGAGTGAACTCCGGTTGTCGATCTCCTTTTGAGCCTTCGTCACGATAACACCGTGCGATCTATAAAACACACAATAAGGAATTTGCAGGAATTGTAGGATGAAGTTTTCCATACTCAAAAATCTGATGTAGAGATCTAGCAGCCCCTGTTAATATATTTCTTTTTAAAATCTGCTTATCAGTAGAATACTGAATTTGAAGGAGCTGTGACTTATAAAGGTAAACAACTGATCATATCAAGGATAGTTAAGCTTCAAACAAAAGACCTATAATATTTCCCAGGATCGACTTTCTCTTAACCTCGGCATTGGAATATGAATGTGTCGTTTTCTTGTTCAGCAATCGCGAGGTTTTTAAACAGCATACATTTACTTCCATAAAAACACAATACAATACAACGCTAGCTGACGTTTCGGCAGTATCGCCTTCTTCAGAGCCTGGAAGGGTATACTGATATACAATTTGGCTTCCGTTTTTGGACGTCCAAATAAACCTATCAAGTAGCGGTTACCTGACAAAGTGGTATCGAAAGCCAAGTAACAAGAACATCCTTGTCCATTTCCTTCCTTCCCACCCTTCACACACAAAGAGGGCGATTGTGAGAAACATGTTTCGAACAGCCACCTCTGTGTGCACTACCAGGGAACTAAAGGAAGAATCGCGCGACTTGGCCCGGCAAATAGCCATCTCCAATGGCTACGAAATAGTAACCCCACGAGATAAGTTTACAAGGAGAACGACGCGCCCACGCGAAACACTTGGCCAAAACAAAATCCCGTTTATGTTGCCTTTTATAAGCGATGAAGTAAGCGCAGCTATAAAACGATGCTTAAGAAGGGCAGGTATA